CCCCACATAAAACCGCCCCGTTTGTCCCCCCCCCCCCCCGTTAGCCAGTTCCAAATACAGTGTGGAGGGAACGATTATGTCACGTTATCTGTTTGCTGAATTTTCTAACAGGGTGAGGGTGACGTTCTACTTGTTTCACAGTTACAATATCATGCTTCATCTGAAAATGTGGAAGTTTATCTGAAAGTTGTACACAGCACAGAATCAACAATCATCATAGTGTTCATACACATAAAAAATATTGTCAAGATCTTATCAATGAATCTTCACTTACATGCATATAAGACTGAGCATCTCCCAGACACAATGCCAAAGCTTACCACAAGCCCACTAAAGAATAAGAAAAGCCTCAGAAGGAGGGGCCCCAATGGAGCCAAAAGATCAGGTGTCCATTAAATAGAACACCAAGCTTTATGAAAATAGTGTAAATAGGTGTAATTAATAGCCATAAATATGATCATATATCTATCTTATATTATGTAATCAATATACAATCAGGTGATGATGTGTGTACATTGGCAATAGTAATAATGTAGTAAGTGTTTCCCTGTCTGTGTTCTAATGATTGCATATAGTTCCACATATAAACTTTTGCACAATCTTACTGAAATGGCTTTAAGTACTATCCCTTGAGCCACAGGTTCATAAGAATCTAAAAATTGGAGTGATAGTAGATTTATGATGAATTTTAAACACTATTGTTTATGTAAGAGGTTGATTATACATTGAATCTTTTTTTATATCAAGGAAGATTATAATACATTGATTATTGTTTAGTGTAGGAAGGAAGATGTATTATATTATAATTGAAATTCAGTAGTAATAATCATCAATGTATTACAATCTTACTTTTGTACAGTAATCAATGTATTATAAACTTATTTGATATACAATAGAGCGTAAAGGCTGTCATGCTTATCCTGGCATTTCTGCATCAGGAATCCGTAGGTTCCTGCCACAGGAGTGTCAGAACGCATAATGTGATTGAGGCCTATGTATCAGTGTGTAGAGTGTCCTATCAACATCTTGGTGATTGATTAAATAAGCCAAGGCTTTTACTAGAATTTGGCGGGGAGTGCTGGGTTTTTCTAAATTTTTCTTAGTTCTTTGGTGCCATTGCTGCTGTGCACCCTCATCATCCACTGGCCTTCAAGGGGTTTTATAGTGTGGAATGGACTTCGTTCTTTTCTATCAAGAGATTCTGTCACTCTGCCCTGGATGGGCAAAATGATACTCTCCTGAAGACAATTTCTCACTTGTTGGGCTTAGAAACACCAGTTCAGCAGCTCAATGTTCCTGGATCTATTTTTACCATATCCACAACTGACTACAAGATGTCATTGGATGTTGAAATGTGCTTGTTATGACACCACACAAATAACATATTTTCTATGCATTTGGAGAATTCAGTATTGTACCATTCATTTGAGAGGTTAGCTGCAAATGAGAGAATGCTACGATATATGGAAATTCAGCAGTGAATGGTCACTGCTCAAAGGATTTGCTATACATGGTTATTTCACTGTTACTACATATAAACAATCACTCTGCAACAGCTTTCCACAACAGTGACATTCACATTCATGCCAGTCATGAAGGGCCATCATGGCTGATATATCATTTTTGTCTCTCACATTCTAAGTTACTGAATAGGTATAATTGACACTGGGATGCTCAGCAGTGATTAGCACATCTTAGGTCACAAGCATATAGATATAAACAATCCCTTGCCTGTTCAGTTCTGTAAATATTAATGCACCTAATTGTAGATAATTTGCAGTCAGTTTTTTTCCTAGTAGCTGCTAATTTTTCTATTACCAACACAAAAATATTAATTTCTGGCAAGACGTAAGAATAATAGTTATTAGCTCAATGAAGTTTGTATGGTCTGCAGCTGCTTACAGACTCACACCTGTTATTAGCTGGGCAAATGGTTGACTGCTTATGAATTCTATGAATTTCTTTGATTTAATAATCCCAGTTAATCTACTGTGAATATTATTTCTACATGGGCCAAAAAATAAATGCTGCAGAATTCACACTAATCAGCTATTTGGAAGCATTTCAGATATTTCTGTGTAGAAGGTCTCATTTATTTTATTTTTCATTTTTCAGGACCATGTCATTCGAGAGGAAGCTAGGAGCCTCACTCCTCGCCAGTGCTCCATTATGGAAGTCGTGCTCGCCACTATTAAGGTATGGTGAACATCAGTTATCAACATCTTGCACAAATGAATTGGTCTTTTAACAGCTGCCAACTCCTCTAAATATATTAACTGCTGCTTCTGAATCATTTTCCTGCTACTCAATGAACATTATATGGCTCATCTGATCATTTTCATTATAACGGTAGAATATGCCTTGGGAAATAGGGAAGGTATTAAATATACATTGACACTTCTTTTTCTCCACACAGAATGAACATTTAAATCCTCTGAGATAAATGGACCTTGTATTTTTGCAAAAGGGGATGTGATCATAAAATATAGGATGTACTTAGAGTGAAGTTGTTGGCCAGCGTGGTCAACATGCAAGGCTAATTCATAGTAGTATTAGATGCAGGTATGATCATTATGTGGCCCTATGATCTGCATGCACATTGTAAGCTAGTACTATATATATATATATATATACAACATATATTTTTATGTTGAGTGTTGTGCAAACTGTTGGTGTAAAAAAATTGCTAAATTATTATACAGGATTTATCTAGCGCCAACAGTTTGTGCAGCGCTTTACAAAATATAGGGAAACTGTATAGTTCCAATGCAAATTCAGGCAAAAGGATTAGGAGGGCCCTGCTCGTTAGAGCTTACAATCTAAAAGGAGAGGTAGGTGATGCAAAAGGTAGTAACTGTGAGGAATGAGCTGATGGAGGGAGTAGAAGTAGAGATTTTAAGAGAAGGCAGGATAGGGTTCTGTGAATAGACACATTTTCAAGGATTGTATGAAGGAAAACAGAGTAGGAGATAGCTGGATTGGAGCAGTGAATTCCACAAAATGGTAGAGACTCTGGAGACATCTTGGAGGTGAGCATGGGAGGAGTTGATGAGGGAACTAGAGAGCAGGAGGTCTTTGGAGAAGTACGGGTGTAGCTGGGGGTAGAGTTGTGGATAGCTTTGTATGTTGTTGTTAGCATTTTACATCTTATATGCTGGCCTATTGGGAGCCAGTGGAGGGATTGGCAGAGACGGCAGTGACATATGAATCTTTGGGGGTAGGGAGGCCTGAAAAACCCAACATCAGCAAATCTCCTCAAAGCTACACTGTATCAATCCATGCATAGAGTCCAGACTTCACCTGCACACAGCAGACAGAAGTGGCATTCACTACAACAGAGGTTCATCTGTTTTCTTTGTACCAGGTATGGCAGACACAGTCCAGTGGAAGTTACTCTGTTGTCCCCAGTGATATCTATTTAAAGTACTGGATCAATGTGGGTGGTACAGTAGACCAGTGGTGGTTCATATAATACTTCAGTGCCCCCAGTGATATCCTTGTTGTAGCCAGATCAACATGGGTAAAGCTAATTCTTAATTAGTTCTTTAGGCCCGGAGGGGCCAGGGGAGGAGTCCAGCATCTCAGACCCAGGTCACGACCTGTAGGCAAAATACCCTTCCAGATAAATACCCAGGAGCTTTGTTAAAGCTAGGCCCAACCAATCAACAAAAAGGTAATTAGTAATAGGGTAGTCAATAAACATTAAGGCAAACCATAATGTATCCCTGACACAGCCCTCTGGATTTATTTACAGTCTTGCAGATGACATATCATAGGAAGCCACTGAGCACACTCTACTGGAGAACCCAGTACACTACATCAAGTACACTACTTGTGCCAAGTGATCATATCTAGCCATATTTGTCAGATGTGCAGTCCATTTGCACTAAGCTCTAAGTGTGCCTGTAGGCCCCATAATATCAGTAATGCATCATTCACACGGCATAACAGGCATTTCCAAGTTTCCACACACACGCTGTCCACCTTTCTCATCCTTCATGTATTCATGGCTCCCTTTTGTGTAAAATAGTCTGGGTGGCTGTACAGCTGTTCGATCATTTGTACTGGCCTGTATGTGTGCCTTCCCATGGGGAACACGGCCAAAAAACTCAGGATGGAGAGCAATCACTAGAGCTGTGCTCTCAGCACTTCCTGCTTTAGAGCTGTCAGAAGCCTGACTGAAGTGCTGGGTAAACAGACGATCAAGCACAATTCTGTTCTTATCGACTGCATTGGAGAGCAGGGGAGACTTCAGGGCTCTAGCATTAAAGTTAAGTGAAAAAAATGTAAAAAGTGTTAAAAATAAATAATTTTAAATAAATAAAAAATCTGCTTGCCTATGCAATTGCGAATATAGGGCATGAGCATTTATGTAAAATGTGATTGCACCACACATGTTAGATATATCTGCAATACAGTTAACTATAAACTGATGAGCAGTAAAGGCTTTTAAAGCATCACATCAGAGTCCCCTCTTTCACAGTAGGAGCCTCCTATTACATCAGAATTCCCCCTTCACATTAGAATGCCTCTTTACATCAGAGTCCCTCCTTCATATCAGAATTCCACATTCACATCACAGTCCCCCCTTTACATAAGAGTCCCCATTCACATCACAAGTTCACACTTCACATCAGAATCATCAGTCCCCCTTTCACCTCAGAGTCCTACCAATGCAGCAGGAGACACAGCTGCGGCAGCATTAGGTGGCAGAACAGGCCTTGATGGAGGCCTTGTGAATGGATTTTATTTTGCCCAGACACACATATGTTAATTTTGGTTAGAGTGGAAAAATGTTTACTTTAACCACCTCCCGTCCACCGAACGTTGAAAGATGGCCGGACGGGAGTCTCCTGGATGTGTGTGGGCATCTTTAGACGTCCTTCGTGCTTGCGCCTGGTCGTGCACGCCCCCACGAGCTGGAAACCGCCAGGATTTTAAACTGCCAGCGATGGCCGTTTACATACAAGCGGTCCGGCGTCTGTAAAGATGCCCAATCGCTTGTATGATGCAAGTCAGGGTGCGCCCCCCCTCCTTACCTCTTCTCGCCATTGCTATCCCCGCCACCACCGTCCCCACGATCTCGGGCATCCATCCATCCCGGGCGATGTGGCTCTGTGCACTGAGAACGGAGGGAGATCAGTACACAATCTCCCTCCACTCTCCTCCCGGTCTCTAAATGCAGGAAGTGATGTATATTACATCACTTCCGCATTCCTCTGTCACTCTCTAGTACAGAAACCGGAGAGAAGCTGATGAAGCAATTTTAGGGTCATCAATCACTGATAACACTAATAAACTGATAAAGCGTCGCCTATGGCCAATTTTGGCTATGGTAGTTTTTGGTAGATTTTGCGGGCACACGCAATTTTAAGGCTTGGCATGTTTGGTGTCTATTTACCCGACGTACCCTGTCTAAAAAAATTGGGTAAAAAATGTTTCCTAAAATAATAAAGGGAAAACGTTTTTTAAAAAAAATATTCTGTACTTTTTTCTATAGTTAAAAATATAAACTCCAGTGGTTGAAAGCTCTATCTGTCCCCAAAAAATGCTATAAAATTAATTTCAGTATGGCGTTGCATGATGGAATAAACGTCAATCAAAGTACTGCAGCGCTGAACACTGAAAAATGGCCTGGACAGGAAGGGGGTCTAAACACACCGGTCAGCAAGTGGTTAAATTCCTTGCTCTCTAGTAACTGTTCCCCTCAATAACTGCATGTTACGACAGGGGCTCCTTTAAGTGAACAGGATGCAGAAGCAATGATAAACAATGTTGTGTGAAAATGAAATCAACTGAGAAATTAAAGTCTGAATGCAAATCAGGTTTTAATTAATCTGCTTCTTGAAGGCAGTGCTGCCAATTGAACACACTTTGCTACAAATCTAAGCAAGTGGAAGCAACGCTAAAATCAAACCAAGTATGCACTATGAAACCAAATAACCTAAAACAATAAATAAATAAAAAAAATAGAATGAACTTTAGCATAGATTTGTCAGGTCTCTACTGGGCTTCAATAATTAACTTTTCAGTTAAAGATTTATATAAGCCAACTATAAATCAAGAATAATATTACATTTACATTACAAAATCATTTTACTCTCTATAATTGAAATTTTCAGACATGTCATTGCATTTTATTATTTAAAAGTAATTTGCTAAATTATATTTTTAATGCTTACAATTGCATATTTATAAAACAGTCCTGGTGATGCCTCTTAAATATCACCTAGGCCCTAATGTATTATAGTGTTTCAGGTACGGTTTAAGTATATACAAGTTTACTTTTTTAATACAAATAGATTAATACAGATTTTTTTATGTACAAGCCCATCCTGCTATCTCACCCATTAAAAAGGGAACAACATTGATCACATACAAAAGACACTCACAAACAAACATCCACAGCCCCCTATTACAAAATGCATGACATTTTTTTAAAAATATTGTACGTTTAATGAGGGAGTAAAGTTGTTTGTGGTGCTCGTATTCACTTTTCCTCATTTCTCTTTGCTATAGGGTTGATATGTTTTGATAGGAGAATCTGCCCACACGATTTAAGGGATTGTAACTCCCTTCTCAAGTTTACTATATAGGCTTGGGACCTCATTAGTTTTTTACCTTTTATATATGTCTACCTTTTTACCTACCAAAGTATTTGTAATTCTGTACAGCCAAGCTTGTGATAGTGTAGTTGATGCTTTCTAGGAATCAGCTTCAGTTCTTAGCAATGACTCTTTGATACATCAGATCTATAGTCGATTACAAAATAAACACACCACTCCATCACAGCTGCTGGAGGGAAGGTCCTGGGTGCCCAACTGCTGAACCCTTTATCGTTCCCACCCCCTCAGATGCATATACAAAAGAAATCTGGCCACACACCGCTTTTACTCTGAAGAGCCTTTGTTGTAAAACACAGAGTTTTACCTGCGTTTGACCTGCTTTGTGTTGTGCTATACCTCTTTGGATGCAGCAGGTCCTATTGACGTGCGTTTGAACTGTAGGCAAAATGAGCCCTTAAGCTGAAATCCTAGGTATATCTAAACCACATAAGAAGTAGATATTCTTTCATTGGTGCGATACTATACCTCAGTAGGTTATAATTACCCCAAATTCAGTTTTATCAAATTTTGCAGTTTAAATCCCACAACTGTGAAAGAAGCTTATTTGCTTATTCAGTTTCATTTGGCTCT